TTTAAAAACCCCACCAATTTCACATTAGAGTACAGGTAAACTTTTCTGATAGTCTGATGCACATCAATCCTATAACTGATTTTTGATTACTACTTCCATTAATGATATATTGCATCTCTTTTGGTGACTAAAGTAAAGTAGAATAGTATCTTTTCAAAGAAAACAAGGCTAAGACCCAAAGGAGGTTAGTCAGCAAAGTCACATGAATTCCAGGTGTGGACAGAGTAAAGAACCTATAGAAAATCCCACACCAGGAGAGTAATGTCCTGAAGTTTCTGTGTTATTAATAGCAATACAGAAAACATAAATTATCTGAGGATACAGTAAAAGTATTTCATGCACAGCACCTATCATGTGGGGCTGGGAATCAGCACAGAGTCCTGGCTAAGTGGGAACAAAAAAGCAAAATCCTTTTCATCTGTTCTTCAGGCAAACATCAGAGAAACCCTAATAGACTCATGCAGCTCTCTGCTAGCAGAATTCCCAAAGCAGGAAAATCAGTCATTTTTCCTTGGCCTGGGTACAAGAACAAGGCCCTGCTCTCCCTGTTGTCCTGGAAGTACTACACACCTGACCAGAATTAAGCAGTTAAGCAGTCCTTCAGCTTTAAAGGTGCTGAACCCCCCTGGGATTTGAATGCCTTCAGCAGTGTTGAAAATCACGTCACAAGATTCTTGGGGAATGCCATAATTTTTGGAGAAATAATTTGTGTGCAAACCCAGGTAAGGATGTGCCTGCCTCATATTCTGTAAACAGTCCATTTTTTTTTATAATAGCATCCCAGTTAATAGGTGGAAGTGTCTTTATATATATATATATATATATATATATACTCATTTTTATATTATAGAATCATAGCATCTCAGACCGGTTTGTGTTGGAAGGGACCTTAGAGCTCATCCAGTTCTAACCCCTGCCACCGGCAGGGACACCTTCCACTAGAGCAGGTTGCTCCAAGCCCCTGTGTCCAACCTGGCCTTGAACACTGACAGGGATGGGGCAGCCACAGCTTCTGTGGGCACCCTGTGCCAGCACCTCAGCACCTTCACAGGGAGGAACTTCTGTCTAAGAGCTCATCTCAATCTCCCCTCTGGCAGGTTAAAGCCATTCCCCTTGTGCTGTCCCTACAGGCCCTTGTCCAAAGCCCCTCTCTAGATTTCTTGTCAGCCCTTTTAGGTACTGGAACTTCTCTAAGGTCTCCCCTTAAGGAGCCTTCTCCAGGCTTAACCAGCCCAGCTCTCTCAGCCTGTGTCTGCAGAAGAGCTGCTCCAGCCCCTCTATACATGTGTTTTACATTTCCACCGCATCCTAACAAGGTCTGCCTTTGCCATGGGATGAGCTGCTCTTTGTACTGACCACTGGGGTGAAGCAGGTGCTCCTGCAAGGTGCGTTTCCCACCTGGGTGCACTGTAACCCGAGGAAATAATGACCCCAATAAATACTTGTGTTTCATAAAGGAGGGGATCCTGCATGCTTACTTTGTTGTCCATGCATGGTACTTACCAGCATTAGAATGGTGACCCTAATGTGCTTTATAGCATGCCTGAATTTCAAAACATCTCTTCCTAGCACAGCATGATGCTCTGAAAGTTTCTGTAGTGATCTAAGTATGAAGCTGTGTTATGCCCCTTGTCATCTCTCTATTATTTCCTAAGGTCAGAAAAGCCCTGTGTGGTACTTGCAGTCCTGGCTCCGAGTTGCCTCCAGTTGGAAATGTGAGCTCAGCTGTAACCACAGTGCTGCAGCAAATGCTATAAAAACGAAAGCTCCTGAAACTGGGATGTTTTCAGGGCGTTCTCAGAGAAGGCAGCAGAGGGTCTGTTTAATGCACAGGGGAAGCTGCAGCCAAAACCAAATCTGTAATGGGGGTGAGTGTGTGTCCTGGATTCAGCAGTCGCAGTCATTTTTCTCCTTCTTAGTAGCTGGTGCAGTGCTGTGGTTTTGACTTTCAGCCTGGCAACAGAGCTGATAACACCGATGTTTTTAGTTGCTGCTCAGTAATGTTTAGTCTGACCAAGGACTTTGAGTCTCATGCTCTGCCAGGGAAGAGGGGAAGCGGGGAGGAAGCAGAGACAGGACACCTGACCCAAACTAGCCAAAGGGGTATTCCATACCACAGCACGTCATGCCCAGTATATAAACTGGGGGCAGTTACCCAGAAGGGTTAGGTCACTGCTCAGGTCAGGCTGGGTATCAGTTGGAGGGTGGTGAGCAGTTGTATTCTCTTCCCTTGTTATTTCCCTATCATTATTACTATTGGTGGTAGCAGTAGTAGTGGTTTGTGTTATACCTTAGTTACTAGACTGCTCTTATCTCAACCCGTGGGAGTTACATTCTTTCGACACTCCTCCCCATCCCTCTGGGAGCTGGGGGAGGAGGAAGGGGGGGAAGTGAGTGCGCAGCTGCGTGATTCTGGGTTGCCAGCTGGGCTTAAACCACAACAGTGTAAAAAGAAACATGAGGTTGTCAATCAAAGTGAGGAAGAACAGAATTTCCAGGGAGATGGAAACACTATATTAAAAGTAAGCTTTTTGGAGAACACATGAAAAATATTCCTTAGAGATGGACGGAAAAGGGACGAGAAAGAATCAGAAGAAACAAAGCAAAATTGCACTCACAAGGCCACAGTTGCAGGGGATTGAGAGCTCCTCAACAGCTAATACACGTTGTGTTCTCTGTGTGCTGGCCTTTGCCTCACCAAGCAGGGTCTTAGAAAACTGCTGTGATCCACTTAAGATGATCTCATTTTCTTCTAAATGGGCAGTTTTTTCTTCTGCTACAGAGTCTTCCCACATATTAAAAGTGAATTTTGGAAGAGCTTTTCAGTGAATGACCATGAAATACACCAACCATGAGAAAATGAATACGGGCAAGTGTGGAAAGCCCAGTGCAAGCACCGACAGGCAATAAGGCCTGTCAGTGTTTTCCAACACTTTAAAATGTACATAAACCCACTCTTGCTATTACGGTAGAGTCACATAGCCTCATGATTTGACAGGTCACTGTTTTAGGCAATACAAAATCAGTAAGCAGGAAGTATATCCAGAGTAAGCTGTAAGAGTAAGATCTGCATAAGTAAACATATTAAGCACAAACTTGAAGTTGTTCTTGTATGAGGCTGATGCTCAGAACTGAAAAGCCACAATTGCCATGACAGTCAGAAGAGACTGTAGGGGTTCAGCAGATGCTGATGAAAACTAGAGGCACATTTGGGAACCTCCAAGTGCTTCGTAAGAACTCGCAGGAACGGGGAGATCAGGAAGCAGGAGCACAGATTTACATATACAGAACGTACCTGGACACATATTTATTTTATTTTAGGGTACTTACCGCTCTCCCAGAAAATAAGGTACTAACAACAAGGACTGGCATGTGTATAAAACACTTCAACTATCAATACCTTTCCCTCTCCTTTAGAAAAGGATACACAATGAGTAGGTGTGGTAAGGAAGAGCAGGGAATTGCAACTGGGGCAGCCTGTATCTCCTGGAACAACACTGCTTGGTCTTTAGGCCTGTTGGTATCTGGTGGCTGATGAAATTATTCACTAATTGCCTCATCTGCACAGCTGCTGCTTTCCCAGGAGACTGCCTGAGCCAGGTGTGAAGGAAGAGACATTGCTGCTCCTGCAAGTACAGAACAGAAGAAAAAAACAATGTGAGAAGTTACATTGCAAAGTGACATTTTCTGGAAGAACTATTTTGAGTAATTGGGGTCTGCAGAGAGCTGTGCATCTCTCAAACTAAAACCACTTACTGTGCATCGTACCAGCAGCTGGCAAAGGAGAGCTTTGGGGTTCAGCAGAAACACAAATGGAGAGGTGGGTACTTCCCCAGATCCATCCCTCTGGGAACTTCAGCAGAGACATCAAAGAACCTCTTTTAGAAGCCTCCTGAGCCTCCTCTTTTAGAAGCCTCCTGAGCCTCCTCTTAAACAAACAAACAAACAGGTTTCATCCATGAGGCTCCTATGGCAAGGCTATGCCACACTCTCACTCATCTAATGGCAGTATCTTTGCTCCTTCATTTCTGGCTCAGATGTGTTACTGTTCAGTGTATACCCATTTGCTGTATTACTCACATAGTTTTCCATCTTGCATAGCCTCTTGCCCTCTCAGATCACAAATGCCTGTCCTCACAGGCTCCCCAGTCTTTGGATCACCTTTGTGCTCCTTCTCTGACTCTCTCCAGCCTACCCACAGCTTCCCTGCATAGCAGGGACCAAAACTGCAACCAGTATTCCAGGTGTGGCCTGACAGGCGCTGAGTGGGACGACACCTTTATCTCTGCTGGTGATGCCCTTGTTGATGCAGCTCAGTATCTTGTTGGGTTTCTTTGCCACAGGAGCACACTGTTTACTCATGTTCAGCCCACCAGGACCCCAGGTCCCTTTCCACAGAGCTACTCCCAGGCAGGAAGATCCCAGCCCGCAGCCTGTGCTGGATTGTGTTTTCCCAGGTGCAAGACCTTACACTTATCCTTGTTGAACTCCGTAAAGTTCTTGTTACCCCACTCCTCCAGCCTATCCAGATCATCCTGCAGGGTTGTTCTCCCTTCCAAAGAGTCCACTTCCCATTCAGTTCAGCATCACTTCATCGGGGTACACTTGACCCCATCATCCAGATCATTTATGAAGGTTTTAAACAGTGTTGAGCCCAGCATTGATCCCTGGGGACCCCACTGGTGACAGGTCCCGATTTAGAAAGGACTCTCTTTTCATGACAGATCCAGCTTAGTGTCACTGAATAGTTTTCAGCACAGTGAAGGAATTAATTTGGTCACAAATGCAAACGCTCAGTGAAATCTAAATAAAGGACAGCAAAAGTCCACATTTTATGGAGTCCCTCCAACATCCCTAAAGATCCTCATAAACCAATTCCACCTTCCTATCCGGCACGTCTCACGGCACAGAAATGGCGGCTCAGGACCGAGGGAGTCCCCCGGCTGCGCTCCGCCCCGCGGCCCGGCCCGGCCCGTTCCGCTGGAGCCCGACGGCCTAGGGGTCGGTAGCGAGCCGCCCGCTGCCCAGTCCCGGCCCACAGCCATGGCGGCCGCCGCGCTGTGGCGGCTGCGGCGGGCCTTGACGGCGGCTTTCAGCAGCGCGGCGGGGCCCGGACGGCCGGAGAAGCTGACGGTGCGGCGGCAGGCGGAGGGTGTCCGGTGAGGCGGCGGCCGAGGTGAAGGGAACAGGCACCGCTGCGGGCCCGTCCCTGAGGCGCTGGGTGCGTTTAGTGTTTTGTTGTAGTAACTCTCCTTGTGCTCGTACAGGAACATCATCCTGAACAACCCGAGGAGAAGAAATGCCCTGTCCCTGTCCATGCTGCAGTCCCTCAGGGAGGACCTGCTGCACGACGTCAAAAGCAAGGACCTCCGAGTTATTATCATCTCAGGTACTGAGACAGGAGAGAAGGGCAGGGCAAGGGGAAGAGCAGGAATGGGGTAATAGGGAGTTTAAACCAAAATCTCACACAGAGTTAGTGTTCAAGTGTTAAGAATGTGTTCAAGCCACGTTGGACAGGGTTTGGAGCAACCTGCTCTAGCGGAAGGTGTCCCTGGCCATGGCAGGAGGTTGGAGCTGGAGGAGTTTTAAGGTCCCTTCCAACCTAACCCAGTCTGGGATGCTATGATTCCTGTTACAGAAAATGGGATGGGACTTGCATGTTGTTGTCCATACAGCTGGCCAGGAGCATGCAGGGGTATCTGTCCTAAGGGTGCCTTCACACGTCAGATCTTGCTGTCCTGCTGTTCTTTTATACACACCCCAGTTTCTGCTCTCATGTACTTAATTCCTCATTCTTGAACACGGTATTAAACACTGACTTGCTTTTTTGTTATGTTTTTGTTGACAGTTAACATGTCTAAGAAGAAACACCACAGAAACACTCTTCAAAATGTCAGCATTCAGTCAGGTTTTGCAGTGTGTTTACAGAGTCAATGAGCTTTTTCCTTTTGTAAAAGCAATCAGTAGGTTGAAATAACTGTGTAAAGAATACTTTAAACAGAATAAAACCAGATTCTAATGGTTCTCAGACTAAAGAAATATCATTCCAAGATACAGGATTTTGTACAGGAATAGGCTGAGCTGGAGTGGCACTTGTTGCCTTGTAGTAGGTTAGATGATAGTAAACAGCTCACATGGTTTCTTCAGTTTGTGTACTCTGTGCCCCAGCTCTAAGCCAGGATCAGCCTCATCATCTTCGCCACTGGTTTGTCAAAACTGCTTTTAAAAGCCTCTGAAGGACAGGCCAGAACACAACACTGCAGTCACCTGTAACCTGCAGATGGGGACAGTCTCTGAGCCTATTACAGTTTTCTTCCATCTAGGTATTCTCCTGTAGCGTTCTTAAATATAACTGAACTTGAGGTGTTCTTAAGCCATTGTTTTTTCTTCTGCTATTTAAGATCATTTTCCCTTGTCTCTGTTCCAAACATCTTAGAGAAATAGGTTTCTTAATTTAGGATGCTGCTGTTTCATTTATGTAGAGGAAAACACAGTGTGTTAGTGCACACAAACATGAGAATGGAAGTAGTATGAGTTCACCAGGATGAGTTTAAACATATATATTAAACATTTTAAACAGCAGTTACAAATTGTGTGAAACACTTCCTATTCTTCTTCAGGAGTACAAAAGTCTGGGAGTTTGCAAGCACAATTTAATGGTATTTTTTTTTAATTTAAAAAGAAATTTCATGTTTCTGTTGATTTCTAATTCTCTTGCTGAATGGAACGCAGAAGAAGAAAGAAAATAAAAGGACTTCTCAGGAAATGCTTTGAGTCTTTAAGACAGGCTTTGCAGTGGTTTCTTCCTCAATGAGGCACAAATGTGGTTGTGATTAATTTCCAGATGGGTATTGGTGGTCCTGTGAGCTGACTGGTGTTAACTGTGTGGCTGTTTCTGGATACACAGTGTCACAATGATCTGATTCATAAGACACGAGTGCATAGGTTGTGTTTGTATAATTGTAGCTGGAAATGTCACATCCATACAGATACATGAGGGGTTCAGAAGGATTCAGAAGCATCAAATTGGTTTATTCGCATGGCAGATACCCTCATGCCAAAGGAAAGCTGTTGTAAAGGGTGTTTTACCTTAGCTGCTACTGGAGGCAAGCAAATTCAAAGCTCAGGTCCATGGGAACCTGCTCTTTTACTGCACAAACCCTGATATGCTTTTTGGGATTCTCTAGATGACAGTTTTACAGGAGAGGAAGCAATGCCCCAACAACCCTTCTGGTTCTCCTCCAGCAGAACAAATTTTCCTTTTTTCACTGTGGCCTTGAGCGCTGTGACACAAAAATCTTGATGCTTATTTAGCAGAAGTTAATTATTAATGCTGGGTACAATAAACAGGGACTAACGGTATTTGTGTGAGAGCAGAGCACTCCATCCTTGCTCCAGCTGACTTGTTTACATTGTCCCAAGGAGCTGTTTAGAGCAGTATCTTTACAAGAAGCTGGATTCATTCTATTATTAACAGTATTAACTTGGAAGTGAAGTAAAACCAGGCTTTAAAAAATGCTTATGGGTGTTACTGTGTTTAAACGTTGCAATTTAAAGTTGTTACAAAACCCAGAAGGCAGTATTTTGGAACTCTCTGTGGAACTCCTTCCCCAGGCTCGTTTTTGGCCCTCCCCCTGGAGGGACATACCTCCCCCTGGGACCCTGATACTCCTCTACTCCTGATTTCTTGATTTTTCTGTTTGTTTTTTTTTTATTAAACCAGACTGACTTTTCCTGCAATTCTTTGCAGCTGAAGGACCTATATTTTGTTCTGGCCATGATTTAAAGGAACTGTCAAGTGAAGATGATGTGAAACATCATTCCCAAGTATTTGAAATGTGTGCAGAGGTAAGCAGTTCTTATGTACCACCCCTTTACCTGGTATCAAGAGCAAACAATGGTACTGGTTCAAGGAAGTCCAGCATTGCTTATCTGCTACCTAAAGCGCAGGTGGTTGCTCCAGATTCCTTGCTTTTTGTTGCTCTGCCAGTTTAATATGTGATCCTGGTGAAATTATGAGAATTTCCTGGAGAAATCCAGAAATTTAAAGGGCTAGAATGCCAGAGTGCATGTCTCCTAAAATGGATACAGGCATGATGTGTTCCTCAGTTTAGCCAGTGTTCCTTGCAGCCTAGTATTTGAACAATGTGTTTCCTAGAAATCTAGGGATAACCACCTTCAAACTACTTGTGATCAAGTGTTCTTTCCCAGCACCTAGCTACTAACCCTGGCAGCTCTGCCTGGGTTCCATCTTGGTATGCTTGTCACAGAGGTAAGTGCCAGTATGAATGAATTACAGGTTAGTCCCTTCATCAGGAGGGAGCCAAGGTCTGATATTTCAGCAGCCAATAGTTTATCATTAACTTCGCAGTTGCAGGGCAGAATACCAGCATGTTCTCAGTGCAGAACTGAACCATGCAGCTTCCTGGTCACAGAAGAGGAAAGATAAGGCAGAAAAAGTGTCAGACTTACTCTGTATAGTGTGCATCAAGAGCTGGTAAATTGCTCACTTTAAGGACTAAAAGGATTTAAATTCTCCTGTGTGTATATAAAGCACTGTGGCTGTATTAAGTATTAATGAGTAGTAGAACAAGCTTTGATAAATAAAGAAAAACAGAAAAATGTCAGAATGTCAGATTTAAAGTTTAAACCAAGCCTAGCTATCTTCTTGAGAATGGAGCTCTACTGTATAGTAAGTTTAGTATAACAATTTCAGATTAGTATTCTTGAGAGCATGAAATTCAGAGATTGGGAGATACTCAAAACCCAACTGGACACAGTCCTGGACAACCTGCTCTACTTGAGTTGAAGGGTTGGACTTGATGATCTTAAGAGGTCACTGCCAACCCAAATGCTTCTGTGAAATTGGCAAAGCAAGTTCTGGAAGAAACTAAATGTAAGATATGAAATGGCATTTGAAGTGATCCCTTTTCTGATGTTCATGGTAGGAGTGAGTGCTTTAAACTCTCTACCTGAATATCCTAAAGGAATTTAAGTTCCTCATAAATCACAGCTCACTATTATGACTGTGGAGGAAGAAGGCCTTACTGTTAAATAATGGCACTTATAGGCAACAGAAATAGAGAATTTAATTGAGGCTCTAGTGCAGTAGAACAATTAACTTTTGCTTTTGTGGTGGTCAATAGACAAAGAAAGGTACTTCTGAGGGTTTCCAAAATGGGATTGTGTTTTCCTGGATTTCAGTACTTCAGTGGAATGGATCCCACCCAAATGACATGCCTGCAGCATTGTGGACAGGGGCCCAGAGCACACTGGACTGGTTTTCAGGAACCTCAGCTTCTACATCTCCTCTATGACAGTTAATCTTGAGCAGATCTTCTCAGCTGCTCCCCCTCTGTTTCCCCATGCATACAGCTGTGTTTGCCATACTATATAATGCAGTATCTGAGAACTAAGAACTTGCCACATACAAGCTGGGGACGATTGAGAATATCACATGTCCGAAAGCTTTTCAAATACACAGTCAGAAGTACCAGGCTGGGGAGTGTGTGTGTGTCAGAGAAGGTATTGACTTTGAGTTTTTGCAGCCACAAGGGTACTTTGTACTTGTTTGCCTGCACATGTGCACATACTGTTACTCTTCTGTTGTCTGCTTCTCAAGATCCACTGAAACTAAACAAAGACAGAAGAACAGAGACAAAGCCTGATCAAATTCAGAACCAAATGTAGGTAATTTTACCTAAACAACATAGAATTTGCTGTTTTCATCTTCATCTATTGGAGATACTGAAGTAGCAAATGAATATTTATCTTGCTACAGTGTGCTACCATGAGATTATTTTATTTTAATCCAGATAAGGACTGTAATCATTTAAGTAGCATTTTCAATCTTTAGGAATTAAAATTAGGTGAGTTTGTTGTTTCCCACTGTATGAAAGGGGAATCAGAGTTAGAAAAGTTAAAACAAATTCATCTTCCTTAACTTCAGCTATCTGAAGTTGGATGTCCAGCCCTCAAGAATTATTTAAGAGAGAGAATGAGGCTTTTTTCCCTTCTTATGTCTAAATGCAAGCAGGAAAAATTGTTTGCTGTCATGTCTCTTCCTGGATTGAAGAGTAAGCCTAGAAAGACATCCAGTGATGGTGTTTGAGTGAGACCAACCCAGGCTCAAGATCATGCAGAAACCAACAAGAGGCTGGTTTAATTTCTTGTGATGAAGTCAGTTTTCCATTATAGGGCAAATGAAGGTGGGGATGGTGTGTCTGGGATTCACATCTTCTCACAGCCAGGAAAGCTGACCTGTGGTGCAGAGGTACCCAAGCTCCATGTAGATCTGATAACAAGTGTTTCTGCCTCTGATTCTTGGGTTTGCCATTTCCACTGGAGTTAGCAGGACCAGCTCATGCTACGTAAACCCAGCAGATACTGGTACAGCAGTGGTCTAAAACTGCACACATCAAGTGTGTTTTAGAACAGCCACCGTTTGAATTTCCAGGACTAACTGACCACTTTCTTTTGTGCATGCAGGTTATGACTTTAATCCAAAAACTTCCAGTACCAGTGATTGCCAAAGTGAACGGGTTGGCTACAGCAGCAGGCTGCCAGCTGGTGGCCAGCTGTGACATCGCAGTGGCAAGTGAGAAATCTCAGTTTGCTACTCCTGGGGTGAACATTGGACTGTTCTGCTCCACACCAGCTGTGGCCTTGGGCAGATCTCTTCCAAGAAAGGTAGGCTTACTTCCCAGATACTCTGTAATTTTGTAAGTAATGTTAGGAGGTTTAGTTCATAGAATCATAAAATGATTTGGGTTGGAAGGGACTTTAAAGCTCCTCCAGCTCCAACCCCTGCCACGGGCAGGGACACCTTCCACTAGAGCAGGGTGCTCCAAGACCCTGTGTCCAACCTGGCCTTGAACACTGCCAGGGATGGGGCAGCCACAGCTTCTCTGGGCACCCTGTGCCAGCACCTCAGCACCCTCACAGGGAAGAGCTTCTTCCAGACATCTAATTTAAATCTCTCCTCTGTCAGGTTAAAGCCATTGCCCCTTGTCCTGTCACTACATGCCCTTGTAAAAGCCCCTCTTCACCTTTCTTGTCAACCCCTTCTATGTACTGGAAGCTGCTCTAAGTTCTCCTTGGAGCCTTTTCTTCTCCAGGCTGAACAAGCCCAGCTCTCTCAGCCTGTCTCCACTCTGCAGGAACATATCCACAGGAGATGTTCCATTGCCTGGACTTTATTTTGCTATAGTACAACGTTGAAAATACTTTGTTGCAAAAGACGTCTTTGTCTGGGACTGAGAAAAATCATAGATGGATGAACTCTGCTTAGGGAAAGCAGCTTCCTGCTGATACGATTCCAGCCATCATGAGCTCGTCCCAGCAGCACAGCAGCTCAGCCATCCCTTTCCTTTCCAACACACAGCTCTGTGTTTTCGCCAGTGATGTTCTCCCCTGATGAGGAAAACCCCTGCAAGTTCAGGATATCCAATCCCACTGAGGTATCAACTCTTGCCAGGCAGTGACATTTCACTGCCAGCAGGAGCTGCCTGGGTGTAGATCAAGATGCTTTAAATAGCATCTAAAACCTTCCCATACTTTCCTCCTGCTTTATTTCCTACTGATTGTCACTTCAGATTTCTCACTGTATAAACAACAGTATGATGATCTGTAAAGCTTCTGTAACTTAGAAAAGACATTTTCAGTTCTAATGCAGTTGGATTCATGGGGACAGACTCTCCAAGCCCAGCAGGGCTCTGCTGAGATGCAGTGACTTAACTGCCCAACTTCAGTTGCTTGATAAGAGCTTCAACTTTAAATCTCCCATCAGTGACGCTGTTCTGTTCACATATAGTCTGTCTGTGGGGTTTTGTTCCAAGTCTGCTACAGTGAACAGTCATAACTGTTCCTGAATTGGTATTTCTGGGGTTTATTGTTACCTTTTTAAAACATGTGGGATATACTTTTCTCTGTGCCGCTTTTCAAAGGAGCAAGAACATTCCCCACAGTTCTCAGGATGATTGATTTTACCTTATAGAATCATAGAATAGTTAGGGTTGGGAAGGACCTTAAGATCATCTAGTTCCACCCCCCCTGCCATGGGCAAGGACACCTCCCACTAAGCCATGTATCAAATGAATGTGTAAATACCAGAGCAAAGATACCAACAAGGATCATCAGCTCTTACAATTCAGGGCATTGGGTAATTAAATCAAGAGTATGACAAAACATTGTTAGTGATATACAAGATTGAGTAGTCAGTATTTGGGGGACATCTTCATTCAAAACCTCAAGTACAAGATGCTGGAAGCAGCAGGAGACTGAAATAGTTAATGGCTTTAAGAAGGACATATTTAAAACCAGCCCTAACCAACTTAAAACTAAGGCTGGTATTTTCAAAAGCTACATATTCACTTAATAAATCTTTACTTCTTATTATATGCCCAGCTTAAAATGCTGAGTTCATTAATTTCAGTTTATGAACCATGCACATCTCTCAATTCCTACTGCAATTATGGGCTTTTGAAAAGAAACCCAGAGGTGTTAGCCTAGGACAGTGGGAATCAGTGGGCAGGTCTGAAACAAGCCAGCTTTACACCCAGTCCTCTTTGCCGAAACCTCTTGACACTTCCTTGGCAGCTTAAAGAAGCCAAAAGATTTAAATCTTAAGTTTATCAAAAGAGTAACTTGTACTTGAAGGAGGAAGCTGAAGCTGCCCAAACAAACCAAAGCGATAAAGCAGTTGAACTGATGTAATACAATGTTTTGTCTTGTTCAGGTGGCATTAGAGATGCTTTTCACGGGTGAACCTCTTTCTGCCCAGGAAGCATTAATGCACGGGCTTGTCAGCAAGGTGGTACCAGAAGACAAGCTGGAAGAAGAGACCATGAAGATCTCTCACAAGATATGTGAAAGCAGCAAATCTGTCCTGGCCCTGGGGAAAGCCACCTTTTACAGACAGATGGCCCAGGACCTTGATACTGCTTACAAAATGACTACTCAGGTCATGGTAGACAATTTGACTTTGAGAGATGGGCAGGAAGGGATTGAAGCCTTTATTCAGAAACGTAAGCCTGTCTGGGCACACTCTCAGGATGAGAAGAAATGAGTCTTGTTTCTGAGCTAACCTTAGCTGTGCTTTATGATTCTTCACGCAGTTGCCTTTGGAAACTCTATTTTTGTTCTTACTGAAAGTGAAATGCCTCTTCTTACATATGCCAAAGACACAATAAATTTATTCTAAGTATATAAAAAATGTTAGGAAAAATCAAACACAATGGTTTTTTTTCAGCAATGAATTTAATCTATGATTTTAGAAGGAACTTCATGCTGGAAAAATCAGTTTAGCATGTCCCACGTTACTCAGGGAATCACAGGGACTGGGAGAGAGCCCAGATCACCCTGTTCAGTACCTGTTTCCATCACTCTGGAAGAAAATTGCCATTTACTGTTATTAATAGAGAATTAAATGGCTAGGACACATTCCAGATATGATGGTAATACATATCATTATGGATTCCAGTGCTGTTTAGATGTTACAGACAGAAGACTGTAACAGTAGCCCATTGATCCCTACAGATATATCTATCTGCTTATGAACTGCAGTATCACTAGTTTGTCTTCCTCAGCAAATCCTGGTTTTCCACCATCATCTCAGTCACTTATCCCAACTTCGGAGAATTTTGCTGTTGACTCCAGTGAGGCTGAGCATGGTTTAGGAGTGTTTAGCTTCACAAAGGACACACTGTGAAAGCCACTGCCTGTCAGCTTCAGCAGAGATTCTCACCTTGGCAGGGTTTTGACCCAGCTGTCATTTACAGGCTGTAAGTCTTCAGTTTATCACAGAATCTCAGATGTGTTAGTTGGAAAATCCATCCATGAGCTCAGAGCTGTGATTTTACTAACACCGGAGCAGCTCTACCACGGATTTTTGTTCTTGACAACAGGGATTCAGCTGCTCCTCTGGATAACCTGTTACAGTGCTGTGCAACCCTCCTTTTTTCTTAATGCCCAGTCTGAGCCTCAAAGCAGCAATTTTTTTGGCCACTGCCCCCTGGTACATGGTGGCAGTGTGTTCCCCCCACCCAACCTGACCTTTATTTCCTGTATCCCTGCTCAAGTGATAACCAGTAGTGGTGCTCATAACAGATGTGTCTGGTTGTGATGGTTGCATCTGGCTCAAAGTGGATTTGGGGAAACAGGTAACACCACAATGGCCAACGGTTAATCTGAGCAATGCACCCACCTGACTGCAGTGTTGGTAAATGTCCAACTCAAGCCAAATCTGGAAAAAACTAACTCCTGTAGTCAGCATGTGAATGTGACTATGAGTGAATTATCCTACTCCACAGATAGTGAATGGCACAGGTCCTGTGGAGCATTCCTGCATGGCAGTGGGCTACGTGCCAGGATCTCCCCTCTAGCAGGGACAGCTCAAGGTCTCTCCTCGAAGTTTAGAGAATCCTCATCACATTGAATACTAAATAATTGAATTGGGAGAAAAAGCACTGAAAATCTGAAGTATCAATTACACTTATAAGTAATATAAAGGATTAATTGCACATTTATAATGCTTTAGTCATAAACTGTTGACCAAGTCTGCACTTAGACTCCCCTCTGAGATTAGAAAGCAAGGGGGTCCTTCCTGAACCTCATGACTCAACAGGAGGGGCTCCCTGACTGTTTTGTCTCACCCTGCTCTCTATGCATTAAATCAAGTGTACCTAGCCATGAAATCTTGTTAAACCACTGTTGCATTTACTATCAAATGTTGTTCAGTTGCTGGTTTATATCAATAAAATACATTGCTGCTTTTCTGTGATGAGTGAAGTGCCTCACTCCATCCAGAACATACATTATCTGACATCACTGAGAAACTTCAGCTCCATTATCTCTGTAATTCTCTTCATGCAGTCACAAGCTACAGTTAGACCAGACTTGGACTCTATTGTGCCAGACTGAACACATGGAGCTTCCTTCACTTTCCTTGTAGGTCATGTTCTCTAGGTAACCAGCTTGGTAACTCTCCAGTGGACCAGTTCCAGCTTCTCCACATTCCTTTTGTACTGGTTGTGCCAAAACTGGACTGTATTCCAAATAATGGCTTCACCAGTGCCGAGCAGAGGAGAACAAAGTATTTCTTCCATCTGCTGGTCACTTTCAGCCAGTCTAAACTGCTCAGTAGTCATCACTTGTGATGAGAGTGCACTGTTGGCTCATGTTCAGTTGGGCATCCACCTCCTGTGAGCCTGGTTTCAGTAGGACTGCTGCTCTGGCAGTCACCTCCCAGCCCGTACTGCACCTTGGGGTTATTCCTCCCCAGGAGCAGCAACTTGCATTTCCCCTTAGATTATGGTTCTTGTGGATTGAAGTCAGACCACTCGGTACATCAGCCATTCCCTCAGTTTCACATGATCTGCAAATGAACTGAGGATGTATTATTGATGCTGACCCTGAATGATAGGAGCCTCAGTATCAACTCATGGTAATCAACATGGGATGGCCTCTCAGCATTTATTCTGAAGTTCCATATAGCCAGATTATGAAAGCTCATCCATTTCATATTTAAATAAGCATCTAAGAAAGGTGAAGCACACTACAGATGGGCCCTTTTTCCTTTGTTGACAGCCAAAATAGCTTAAAGTGCTTAGCTCAGACTTAGTGTCTAAAGTTAGATAAATCCTACCAACAGCTACTAAAATTCCAAATGTGGAAGTAGCATGAATCAAAAAGGATTTTGTTTAAGGTATGTTTGCTCCTGCGTCCTTCGTTCCCTGTCTGTATGAGTGTTAGTTCACTCCTCAGTCCTCCTCTGGAGTGGCAGATACTCAGTAAAGTCCTGGGACAGTTCTCTCCCTTTCAGGTTAGATCTAAGGAAGAAGTTCTTTACTGTGAGGGTGGTGAGGCACTGGAACAGATTGTCCAAAGAAGTAGTAAATGCTCCATCCCTGGCAGTGTTCAAGCCCAGGCTGGACACGGCTTGGCCAACATGGTCTAGTGTGAAGTGTCCCTGCCCGTGGCAGGGGTTGGAACTGGATGATCTTAAGGACCTTTCCAACCCAAACCATTCTATAATTCTATAATTCTCTGGGGATCCATTACTCGTGATCTGTTATGGATAAGTCCACATCAGCTTTGGCTTACTTAGCCGTTCACAGTGCCCTGACAGTCTCCCCGTAGGCCTTGCCTAATGCTGCTGAGCATCCTCAGCAGTGCTAAAACCCACCCTGCTGCAGGTCTGCCTGTTACTGCAGGTACTTTGAACTGAAAAACTCCTGCAGTGCAAAGTTACCACTTTTGTCTTTGGGTCTGATGGTGCTGTATGGAGGCAGAGGAAGGCCAGGCCCAGTGCTGTGCACTGCATTTGTTGCTGGTCTGCTTCAGAACAACCTGTGCATGAAGCCACCTTGCAAAGGGTGTTGATGGCAGTGCCAGCCTTGTGTTGTCCCCCTGTTATGAGAGGTGGTCTCATGGTTCCGGCAATATGCTTCTGACATAGTAGCCATGGACTGTACTCTAGCAGGTGCACTGCTGGGCTCAAGGCATTGAATGACACTTTACTTCCCAAGCAGTGGAATGAAATTGTTATTGCTTATACTGGAACAAGACCCGGACAGGCTGGAATAAAAATCAGCCTTCTTTCTAATTGCCCTACAGAGTTTCATTCAAACTAGTGATATAAATACTCATATCATTTATGCATATACAGCCCATCAAAGCAAGTCTCTTTCCATCTGTGATGGGAATGAAAAAGGATGAAAAGAACAATAGTCAGTTCTGCTGCTATATTTAATTTGAAGAATGGAAACTTAAACTTGAATTCACCCTCAAACATAGTTTGTTTCTATAGGAATGTGAAAAATGTGGATCATTTGGAATAATTGTTTTAAAAATACAAACTTTTATTGTTACCAGTAGGAAAGATGGGGAAGTTTTATATAAACTCACATAGTCTTCGTAGGTTAGAAACTAATAGGAGCATTTAAGAGATAGAAGGGATAAATCTGGAGCTCAATAACCTTCATCATGTCCTTTTTTAATGCAGTAAGATGCTGCACTTAGCCTCTGTTCCCACATGCTGCTCTAAAAGCATTAGGAAAGAGTAAATTGTTTTTAAAAATATTTATATTTAATGGCTATTTTGTAACTACTCAGCAAATCTCTACTGGGTCTTTTGTTCCAGGCTTTTAGAAATAAGTACATTATCTGATTTTTGCAGAACAAGGCTCTTTCCAACTAACAGCAGTAATCAAATGGTGTCACTGGCCAAATTAAAACATGAGGGATAGTTTAGATGAGAATATTCTCTTAAGTATTTTGAAATACTCCTTCTGCAATTGCCACCTACATAAGATGGGGTTTGCCATTGTTATTAACTGGTGGTTATAATTTTTGAAGAAAAAAGCCCTGTGTTTTTAAAGAATAATTACTTTATTTGAAATAGTTACACTGCAATGGGATTGAATTCTGGTCATCTTATTTCTGTGCATGGAATTTCCTGAACTTGAATGGCCTCGTAAGATACTAATAGTTCAAAGTCATAGAGGTCTTTGCTTGGGAGGGACTCTTCATCAGGGACTGTAGTGATAGGACAAGGGTTGATGGGTTCAAACTTAAACAGGGGAAGTTCAGGTTACATAGAAGGAAGAAGTTCTTGACTGTGAGGGTGGTGAGGCACTGGAATGGGTTGCCCAAGGAAGTTGTGAATGCCCCATCCCTGGCAGTGCTCAAAGCCAGGCTGGATGGGCTTGGAGCAACCTGGTCTAGTGTGAGGCATCCCTGCCCATGGCAGGGGATTGGAACTGTATGATCTTCAGGTCCTTGCCATCCCTAACTATTCTATGATTCTAGCTACCCTTAGTGTTTTTCACTATGAGTTCAGAACAGACACACCTTAGCAAGACAAAATGATGATGGGAGGGGAAGTTAACCATCAAAAATGGTGTTCTGGTTTTTCATATGATAGGCAGAAGGTAGGAACTTTACCTTATCCTTGGCTTTCCCTGTAAAAGACCAAGCTCCTTCACAGTTCAAATCCATGGAAGCTGAGGAAGTATGGAGCTCTGGACAACTTGAGTTCAGATCTTTGAGGACACTGCTTCTCTAGGCTCGTGGTCTTTCAGTCTTATTCATGGGTATGACAAATGTTTGTGTTGTCTTCAAATCTTGAAGAGAAAAAAATATTTGTAAGCGTGTTTTAACTGAGTTTTCACAGTACTTGTTTGTACTATTTCATGCAATAAAGTAATCGTGCAATTAATAATCATCAGTTCCAAAAAGGGTGGCATCCACAGGAACACTCCATAGAGTCATAGAATGGTTTGGGTTGGAAGGGGTCTTGAAGCTTATCAAGTTCCAACCCCCTGCCATTGGCAGGCACACCTTCCACTAACCCAGGTTAGTTGTCTGGTCCCACTAGACACAAAAACTTGAGATTTCAGAACATTCCTGCGCTGGCCCCTATAGATTGACTAAGCAATATAATTTTTCATTTCTGCCTTTATTGTTTAATTTAATGGATTTACAGTTATTCCTGCAAAACAGACTGGATCCAGTATTGTTAATTAAATTCTACAGCGAAGAAATAGCAAGCCAAATGATGGACTGGGAGCCTTTACTGCTGTAGCTATCTGCTGCCTTCAGAGAAGGTTTGTTCCAAAATAGCAAGGAGCCTATCCCTTGTTCCCCTGTTCATTTTTATCAAGGAATCTGCTGTGCAGCAATGTCTGACAGGTAACTAGCCCAGTTTCAGGTGACCTTGAGCATGTGGCATATGCACAGCCTTGCCTGGAAACTAAGTATGGCTCCATCTGCGTACATCCTCTAGGATGCAGCTTATCCCTGCAAGTGACAGGGACATGTTTTCTGCCCATATACACAGAAACAGCTGGAATAAAAACTGATTGAGAAAATGCAAGCAAGGGATTGCTGGTGTGAATGTAATGAATGATCCAGCCACTGACCTCAGAGTCCATGGAGGCCTTAGAAGACTGGCTTTGAGTCTTCACCTGGAAATTTCAGACAAGATCTATAGGCAAAATCTGGAGGATATGATCATATCCCCATTCCTGGCAGTGTTCAAGGCCAGGTTGGAAGGGACTTGGAACAACCTGCTCTAGTGGAAGATGTCCCTGACTGTGGCAGGGGGTTGGAACTAGATGAGCTCTAAAGTCCCTTTCAGCCCAAAGCGTTTGGTGATTCTGAGATGCCGTATCACTCATGGTACAGCTTCAGGCACCCCTCATGAACAAGGTAAAAAAAAAGCCAGGGTGCAGCAACAGCCAGATAAACACTCAGCACAAGTTTGCTCCTCCTTCATGGACCAGGCAACAATCTGCCTTGCCACATCATTTAGGATGTATAAGCTGAAGATAAAGAGAAGACTTGGGTGATGAGCAAGGTATTTAGACCTTCCACATTCCATGGAGGCAAAGAACTGAATGGGACTTTATATAAGCTTTTATAGAAACTTCATGTGGTTTTCTCAAGGCCTCCCAGCCTAGAATTAGGCAGACTGGGTGAGAATTAATTTTGTGTTGGTGTGAAGTAATCTCCTGTGGCTGTGGAGAAGAGAGCTTGAAGATATGTACTACAAACGCACAAAGAGCTGGATGTAGTTAACATTAAAAATACATGACTAACTCACTGGCAAAACAGCATCACAGTTTTTACCATCTAGCTCCTGATTCCTGAGCATTTGGATGGCAACACTGTGTCCTTCACGGAATTGTTGCTGGGTAATTCCTATATGGTCACACCTGTATTGCAGATGGGGAAATTGAGGCCAAAGCTGCTCTGCCTAAGGTCTCACGGTGACAGTGGAATTCAGAATGCCAACACCTGCTCCTTGCACTGCTTCAGCAACTAAGTTTTCAGTAAAATCAGCAGAAATGCAGGACGATGGCATGCCCTGGAGAGACTGCAAAGGCTTCTGAACAGGAATTATGAGCTACTGCATCAAAGGCCCCACACTTGACATTTATTGGCTTTTTGATGAATGCTGGGGTAATTTTCCTGTCAACAGTCTCTCATTAGGAGCCTGGCAATGTTCTTTCTGACCATTATCTTGCTCAATATCACATTGGGTTGCTACAAAGAGCAGAAATTTTATGTACAACCCATCTATCTCTGTAGCTGCAAAACCTTCTAATCATTCTACATTTAAATAATCTCATGAAAATGCGGCTGCCTTCTCAAAGCAATCAGGCGAATAAACAAATGGTTAAATTTCCATGAGGACCTAAAGCTGTAGGACAAATCTCGTACTGCAATGAGTAGGATTCATTTGTCTTGATTTCACTGGTACTGCACCTCAATTATACTATTCCTGAATTTAGCCACCAGATAACACATCCACATCCTGTTGTAGGCTTCCAAAGAAGGGAAAACCCATCAAAGCTGTACCTTTCTGTTTCTTCACTTGTAGGATATACCATCTCCTAGTTGCTTGTTGTCAATATTAGGAGTTACTTTTTGTCAAACCCATAGCTTTTATAAAAATCAAATAGTAGAAATATACCCTTAATACCACTGTGGATTTGGAAAGGCTAAAATCATTCATTAAACTTTGGTGTGGCCAATGGTAGTTGTTTTCATGATATGACCTTAAAAAAAAAGGTAATCCTTACTTTAATATTAGTATTCCAGAGCAGTGATCAGGGGAGCGTCCCAGGGGTATTATATATTTTATTGATTATGTTCATAATAGAAACAAAATCAAAACCAAAACCATATGATAAAATAACAAGTTGAATTTGTACTGCTAAAGTCTCAGCCAGATTCCTGGGCTGGATTCATGGCTGTTGTTCATAGCTACTTACCACAAGAGACTTTCATTTTCCCTCCTTAGGTAAGACAGTATTTTCAGCCTGCTGAAACCAAAACTTGTCATGCTGTGAAGTTAACTGAGAAAAAGAAACATTCCTGTAGCCTAGACTGAAACAGAGCCAACTCTTTACACTAACTTTAACTGCAGCACAAGCTCACCTGTTGGACTTGATATGGATATAGGTATTGATCTCATCCACTGATCCTGCTGAAGGCAAGCCACCTCCTGGAAAGGCAGGGCAGGGCTGGATGGCAACGTTTTAGACTATCTGCAACCCGGCTCATTAGGGCTGTATGTCAGGGAGGTCTGATGTAATGGGTCATGTCTAACCATAGGCTGCTTTCTGAAGAAGTTTTTAAGGACAAATCAACTGCAATAAGAGAATGCTGACATTCAGGCTGCCTCAGCTGCTGATGACAGAGGAGGTGTCAGTGGCACTTGGGTTTTATTCCAGACCTGTCCTCCTATAAACAATTACAGGGGATGAAATCATTTTTGGAAAGATGAGCGATTATTTCCCTGTCAGCTCTGCCCTGTCAGCCTCAAGGATAATGTGATATATACCTGCTCTGCTCTTCTCCACTTCCTGGCCCCAAATCAGTCTCAGTGTAGACACAGAGTGATGCTTCTGGAAAGGAACAATAAAGAATTATTTAAACATATATAGAACATGGGGGAAAGGAAAAAGCAAATGAATACATGAAGTCATTCTCCTAATGTGGTCTTTAGTCTAGATAAGGATATTTTTTGCACCTATTTAATGAAATATACCCTTCATGCCATTAAAATTTTATCATCTGTTCTTTAACAGAGTTCATCCCATAACAAAGATCTCTGTTCTAAGTGTTAGGATATTGTATAAATACAGACTTCTGCATCAGCCTCCCTTCTCTTTCAAGGCTCCACTAGATTAGGTTAAAATACTTTATAGTGTGCTTTTTCTTGTTTGTTTGGTTTTTTTTTGCTTCTAAGTCCTTAGTGTGAAGTCAGAATTCTTTGTTGTTTTTTTTTTTCCCTCCTTGAGGATTATTTGTTTTGTGAATGCTGAGATTCTTATGTAAGTACATACAAATCCAGAAAGCTTTACAAAATACCACATACCATAGAATCATGGAATCATAGAATGGTTTGAGTTGGAAAGGACCTTAAGGTCATCCAGTTCCAACCCCCTGTCATAGGCAGGGACACCTCACACTAGACTGTGTCACCCAAGGCGCTGTATAACCTGGCTTTGAACACTGCCAGGGATGAAGCATTTACCCCTTCTCTGTGCAATCTAACTGGTATCACTACCGGACTGGGGGAAAGCATCAGGTTTTAATGCAAAACCTGTAAGAAATGAGATTTAATAGATGAAAGAGCAGGGTAATGAGAATGTTTGGTTCTCTGACAAAAGGCGCTGCTGGAGGAATACAAAGGTGCTCTCCGGAGTGGCTATTCAGAGGACTGGAAAACGGACCTATTTACCCCTTTTTCATTGGGACCAGCAAGAATATTCCTGCAAGGATAATCAGCCCCTTATTCATTAGCCTGAGGTTATTACCAATTATCAATATTATTACTTACTGTTGCTGTTATTCTTGCTATAACTTATTTGATGGCTTGGCTTCGTGAGCAAAGGTTTAGGAAGGGCTTTACCCATGCTTACTACAAGCACAGTGACCAAGGGCATGTGGGATAGGCAAATCTGTTTGGAAAAAGGCTGCTTAGGCAATCAGGAATTTTCTGACCAGGACTGACCTCTCCTGAGGCAATCTTGAGTGACCAAAGTCCTGATCTGCCTACATGCAAGGTTGGATCTGCAGCTTCCCATGCACCTTGTCACCTGCCGTTTTGACCCTCGCCTGTCTATACAGACAAGTGAGAGTAAACACCTCCAGCCTGTGCACTGGATTTTTTAGGTGAGGCGCAGCGTGCGCAGAACTGGCCCCATCCTTTACACCTGAGATTTAACTGCCACAGCCTAGTTAGCTAGGACGGTGACAGCAAAGTCCACAGGTCATAGGTTTTGTAAGAGTGTCCTTGTCTTAGATGGAAGACCTGTTTAATACAGTGACATCACTACAGTTCAGGAATTAAAATGTTGATGCCTTCCCCCCAGAGCTGGGCTTGGAAACTGGTCTGAATCCCTGAAATCTGAAGCCTCTGCTGCTTGAACAGGGGAATAGCATTTATCTGGTGGCAAGGACTTGTCCTCTTACACAGCCTGTGAAAAGACACTTAGTACTTCCCATGTACTCAGCATGGTAAAATGGAAGTTGTCAAAGATAAAGTCTTTTTGTTTGCTGTCTGTGGATATTCCCATAAGCTTTTAGTCTTTTTCTACATGAGCATTTATTTAGAATATTTCCGTGGACAGCTTGAGATCTTCATGAGGCACTGGATGGTTGCAATGCAACATCAATTTATTCACCACACACAGTTACCAAAGTAGCAAAATGCCAACAGTAAATTTACCTCAGCAAAAGTCCTGGTAAAGAGCTCAGTAGCACATAGGCTAAAAAAAACCCTGCTAAACTGTCCTAGAGTTTTCTGTCCATCCATCACTATAATATTTAAATGCATTCCTATAATGAATTTATATATATATATATATATATATATACACATAAAATTCCTATAATGAATATAAAGTCCTATAAGGACATGAGGATGGTGAGACACTGGCACTGGTTGCTCAGAGAAGCTGTAGATGTGCCATCTCTGGAGGTGTTCAAGGCCAGGTTGGATGGGGCTTTGATAAGGACCCTTCTGACCCAAAACTTTCTATGATTCTGTGATATGATTCTATCAGCCATTTTTTAGTTCTGAAATGTAAACCAGAGGGAAAACAGTTTAAAAACATGAGAGAAACCAAATCTGGATTCCCTACCCAGCTTTCTCACAAAACTCCAGTGTGACCTTGGGTGAGCTGATGGAGGCAGAAAAGTAACATGACTGCGCAGTCCAACCTCCTACTTATCATAGGTCATTTCTTCTTGGCCTGCTTACCCCTATAAGGCATTGGACTGAATTGCTAAGGAATTATCTAACCTTGTGAAGAAAAAGAAGAAGGAGAAGAAGGTGCCAACAGTGTGATCCATTTCTCTTGCAGTCAGAACTTGCAGCTTATTTTTGGTTTGAATTCATCTGACTACAGCTTCCAGGCAGGGCAATAGAGCTGCCTTTTGTGGGTTCAGCTAGATCCTTCAGTAGCTCAGTGGCCTATATGTGAAATGGAGCTGATTGCTGCCTTTTTTTCACTGTCCTTTATCTGTCTTGTGTCTGTAGACCACAGGACCCCCCAGGGGAAAACTGGCTCTCGCTATGTGTACACTCAGTGCCTTGCACAACAGCTTAGACTGGGTTCATCTCTGATGTGGAATGCTTGATATGTAGCATATAAGTTACAACATTGAGAAAGGACACTAAAAAAATCAAGCAATAAACCCCGAAAATCTCTGTCTGATGGAGATTTACTACAGATCTTCAGAAATCCTTGTTGCGTTACTACACAACATACTTCATTTTAAACCGATGGCACTATGTAGCAAACTGTCAGCAGAGGGCAATATCAGATCGCATCTTGAAGCAATTCCTGGTTAATGTGATTGGCCAGTTCCTTGGTTTTCTCCTCATTATCCCTCAGGGAATGGTTTAATGAGGCTGCTCTCTGAACAGCATGTGTGAGAAAGTGCTTTTGAAGTCATGCAAGTCGTGGGTCTAAAGTCTCTTCTCCCTTTCCTTGAAGCCCCAAGAGTCTTTGCATCCTCACTGATTACGTTGGAGGACCAGTTGCAATCCAGTTTTCAAGATAGGTGGCTTGGTACCAGTCCCTAGGAAGATCTTGGAAGCAAGAGGAGACCCTGTTCTGCTTTAAGAAATACACCTGTAAGATATACAGATGTGTTTTGGGACCTGGACCATTCAGCGGAGCACAGTTTGCGAAAGCCTGGCTAGTCTGGCTTCCCTAGGGAATTTTATTTATAGATCCAAATGAGTTTGTGTAGATAGGTAAGAGGTCCTGGAGAGAACAAGGGATTCCAAAAGACCTTCCAGTATCCTGGATCAGCAAGCCGGATAGAAGAGGTGAGCAGAGTGTGACAGTTATGCCTTCATGCCTCAGATTTTCAGGAATAGGTAGCAATCCAGAGGAAAGGTGTCCCAGCCAGAGTTCAGCCCACCAGGATCACAGTATCACCCTTTCCATCCTCCTTAAGTGGTGAACTTTTCTCTCCATGACTCAGTTTCCCCATCTGTAAAGGAAGTTACAAAGTTTTCTGTGACATACTAAAAGCAGTGAACGATAAAAACTCATCAGCTGTGCTACTCACAAGCTGGTGATGAACTAATGTGCTTGTCACACTGCTGGCTATATAGAGAAGAAAACTGCTGAAGGTGTTAGTCCAGAGTGACTGTAGATGCCAAGGCACAAGACGAACTGTTGAGAGTCCTCACCCAACAGGAACAATGTTCCAACTGTAATGCAGACAGCCTGCTGAGTCATTCCGTCCCCCAGGGCAGGTGAACACTTTGCAAGAGTCTGCAATGGTAATCATTAGACTATTGTAAATATTAAAGAATACAAATGCCATGTGTCTCCTTATCTGAGCTTCAGCTTTATGCCTGGCTTCACTAAGAGTAAGGAAGTGTGACCACCTGCAATGATACCATAAATAATACTTAGAATCTCAGGGCTCACTGATTATCAGCCTGAATTAACCATTCTCCCCCAGTTTCCAAAAGAATGGGGAGTGATTACGTTGTTCAAAGCCACTATGGTGAAGGAAGCCAAGAGAAGCTGTGGCTGCCCCATCCCTGGCAGTGTTCAAGGCCAGTTTGGAGCTTGGAGCAATCTGCTCTAGTGGAAGGTGTCCCTGCCCGTGGCAGGGGGTTGGAACTGGATGAGTTTTAAGGTCCCTTCAACCCAAACCAGTCTGAGATTTTATGATTCTAAGCCTGTAACTTCAAACATAAAACCAGGCAGGATACTGGGCTGTGCTGAAGCTGCAGAGGAATTCACACAAACAACATTCAATGACCAGCTCTGGAATGCGACGAACCCAGGTAGGTCAACAAGCACAAGATAAATGTGCAAGGTGACAAGTGGGGTCCAGCCCAGGCTAAACCTCCAGCAGTCCATGGTAATGGGGTAGAGGTTATGTCAGCTTTGTGTCTGGCAGCTTCTGCACAGCTCTCACCAGCACACTGAGTAGAAGATGTAATCTAACCGCTTTTACTCCAAAGGCTCTACTCAGACCACAGCCACCCCTGTCAGTCAGGATGCAATGCCTTCTCCACTGGACAACATTTGGTCCTGTTGTACAATCATGCTCCTGCAAAGCTGAGACAGACGTGATCTGTGCCCTCTGTTTCATTTTCCTCTCTGCCACTCTGGATCTCTCTCTGACTCACAGAAGCCATTTCAGACCATGGCCATCTGTAACCACAGAATTTGAGGCACCACCAGTAATAAAACTAAAAGCAAGCAGTTGAAACTTGGAAACAAAAAGCAAATGTCACCTCAGGCTGATAAGCAGCTCTAATAACAGACCTGGCAAGACAGTACTTTAAGCCAAAGGAATAGTTTTGCAACCTTTTTCTTCAAAGAAGCTAAAATATTTCGTTTAGGGAAAAGGACTGAACATCAGTTTCAAGCAAAGTTATGGGGTTTTTTTTCTTAATTAAAAACTTATATCTTAAAGGATTTACACAAAAGTTTATGTAAGCATTTCCATGTAGATGAAGAAGGAAACAACATTCATTATGTGAACAAAGAGTTCCTGTTAAGGTGGTTGCATAGAGGATACAAAAATAACTGGGAACATAAGCACATAGGGGATGCTCAGGTGCTAATGAGACTGCTCAGGGCTGATTCAGAGCTGCGCTGCAGGCATTCCATGACAGCTCTTCCAGGAGATGTCCCCAGCAGCCATGAGTCAGGTCCCTGCCTCTGTGTCAGTCCTGCAGGAAACTCCCTACAAAAGAGCTGGCAGGTATGTCCTTAAAGGCAAAGGAACCAGGGTCTTCCCATGCTTTAGCTCTTCTAAGTGCAAGACAGATCGAGGAGGAAGCCTGAGGTGAGCACAGACAAAATCAGCCTGAGAAGTGCACACCGGCCAAGCAGAACCCATCTGCATTGTAAAGATACAATAGATGGCTGCAGGCCAGTTTTTTCCTGTTGGTCCTTGAATTGATGATGGCTCTGACACTCTTGTGATCTTGAACACAAGCCTAGAGGACAGGCTCCTTACTGCCTGAATTGAAATCCTGCCCTCCGTTACCCCAGGCAAAGTTAATGACTGTAATTTATTGAAAGGCCTGTAATGATTTGTTAAACGATGTTGAAAACCTAGTTTCATGAAAACAAGTTACAAAGTGTCCCAAGAACAAAAGATTTGCACTTTACTTCATTTTAAAGTCCTTTTATTTCCCTTAAAGCCTTTAATTATCAGTTACAAGTCATTCGTCACTTCTTTTGGGCCAAGAACAATGCATTAACTGTATATATTTGTATCTATCTACCATGCACATGCAGGTGCCCTGTACCATACTGGTTGTTGATGCCCCAAATGCAACTGAGTGATGGTTTCCTTCACATCATTTGCACTCCACAGACTTCAAGAACAGCACCTACAGCAGAGTTTGCATGGAAAGCTATAAGCAATCTGACTGCAAATCACCTCTCTCCACTATCTTCCTCTAGCAATGTGAAGCAGTGAAGCTTCAGTGAAGCAGGGCCCTTCCTTGTGAGAACCAGAAAAATCCACTGGCATTACCTTCCAAGAGGCAGGGCTGGCAAGAGAGGAAGGGATTAGTGCACAGGCAATCTCATCTGTACTGATGTTATTCACAAAACAATTCCACAGCTATTCAAGCATAACTCAATATTGAAGACTGGCAATGTTACTTTGGTATTTAGCATTTGCAAGAGCCCCTGTATGACTGGAACTCAAAAAGGCCTCCAGCATTCAAACCATTTTCTTCTGTTCCCAGGGTCATATTCTCTCACTGCAAATCCCCTGATATCCAGGGGATGGGTCCCCAGCCAAAAATGATATCCAAGCCCAGAGCTAATTGTCTAAGGTCCTTCTGTAGTTATAAAGAGAAACAAATGCTTCAAAAGATCAAAACAGCCAAAAATATGGGGAGGTAGGAGCTGCCTGGTAGGGAACTGATGTCTCTGAGCACCTGATTTTCTCCAGGGAACTCCCTGGGAACTGAAGTCTGACACAGTGCCCTAAGCATAGGAATATTTTCAGGAGTAGAACAGGGCCATTGTTTTCCTCTTGAAACCCACAGAAGATTTGAAAATTAACTTTTAAAATCTTATTCTACACTTCTACATAGTGACTTTGCACTTATTTAAGGGCTTGAATATTGTTCTCATCTTGATACAAGCCTTTTTTGATATACCCTTGGTTTTTAAGTAGGGAATGCCTCACCTGTTCCAGTTTTAGAGGTGCACGTGATAGCAGTGTCCTAACCTTAGAAACTGAAGTGTTACTGCAAGATCTAGTACTAACTGTCACACTACTTTCATGTTTCTTTGCACAACATAAAGAGGAAAAGAGAGGAAAGGGGCGGGGGTAGGGGGGGGAAGAAAGTGCAACAAATGTGCTTTCATTCTTCATTTTTAAGGGTGAGATTTCCCTTTTATGGAGACATCTCTCAACTTGTTTACTATGGGAGCATGAAGTCTTTAATGATACCTTCTTGCACCAAGAGAACAAAGTATTCTGTAGAAAAGCCAGCTCTTTGCTGCCACTGCCAGCCACATGCAAGTACAAAGTTACAAAGCACTCACTTAAATGAAGTGCATACTTCATTAAACAATTAGGCAATAAGGCAGAGCAAAGGCTGTGGTTTCCAGGCCTTGTTCTGTAATTGTATCCTCCCCCATTAGGATAAGTAATGCTGGTTGCCATTTAGGATTATCCTCTAATGGCCTTGTCCTGTGGGATTAGTGGATTGCCACAATGGGGAATTCTTTTATCTGTCGATGGCAATGTAAAATACATGATTTGTGTAGGTTTAGAGGTGAGGATTTTCATCCCTCTTTCCTCCTTTCATTTGTGACACCGTGATTAGAAGCTTTTATCTTTGCTTTTGCTTTCTGAACCATGAAGGTTATAAACCAGCCCAGTTTCTGTAAAGGTCCAGCACACAGAAACCCAGTCTGTAACTAAATATCACTGAGTCTCCCCAAACACATTGTAGACACGCTGAGCCCCAGTGACACTGAGGATGGGAAATGGGTAAGTTACTATGTTGAATGAGGTTGTGTTTGTGCTGGGATTCTCCACCTCATTCAGCAGGTGCAGTTGGTGAACTTTCAGGAGAAACTAGGAGGCACCTACAGAGATAAGGCAAATGCAGGATTAGATGGCTGGTAAACAGAGATTGCAGATGAAATTTAAATGTCTAAAGTCCACCTACAGTCTGCTAAACGCCTTTCCTGATCTAATATTCAGCTCCTAATGAAATTACCAGTTTTTGTTCCACTGACTTGAAGTTGACCCTGGACAGAGCCCACAGCCCTATCAGAATCTCCTACAACAGTTACAGAACATCCTGGATTCCAGCAGCAATTCCTTCCCTCAAACATGATATACAAGGAATCTCTCCATGCTCTTCTCCACAAACCATTCAGTTCTGCTGAAACAGAACATACAGCTCAAATGCAAAATACAGCTCACTGTATGACAGGACACCCTGTCCTTGGGAACTGGATTTAAGATCATATCATGGGCCAACAGGAGACCATTAGAAGAACTAACTTACAGTTCTAACAGGAATCAAACTAGAAATTAAAACAAGAAAAGAAAAGAAAGAAAGAAAGAGAAGGAAAAGGAAAAGAAGAAGAAGGAAAAGAAGAAAAAGACCCAAACCCTAAAAAGCCATAACACTTTAAAAAAGATAAATTTATTTCTGAGTACATATATTTTATGCTTTCTTAGAACTTTCTATATTTTCTACTCACACTCCTCCCCTTTGGAAAGAATATTTATTATATTAAATATTATATATACTTATTAAATTAATATTTAATTCAATTCAGTGATACATGTCTCCACTCCCCACAGTAAAATAAGTTGCACTCATTTCAAACTCACTGACACTGGAATATAACACTCATTGGGATGCATGGGAGAACAAACTACTATTAAATGTCAGAAAATATATGTTTTAAATAGTAGAAGCCAAGGAACAGCTATTTGGAATACTTTTGTATTGCATTAATGCTACAGGAGCCTGCTAAAATTGGGCCACTTTCAATCAGATACTGCAAAACCAGCAGAAGGCCATCCCACTCCTCTCTCTTACTCTAAGAGTAGGATCTGCTGAAGGAAAAGATGAAGGACTAGATACAAGAAAGGATTTAAGAGGCAAACCTAGAATTTAAGTGAAACAGATACTGAATGCCAAAAGTACACCTTAGCTCCTCCTCTTCTCCCCGCAGCTGAACTGCAGAAAATCCCTGCAATCAGCACAACTCATTAGGTAACTACTTCCTCTGCAGATTTTTCCTCACACCTGAAAATCTTGTCTCACCAGTGAGGTACACTAACATCAGAAGTAAGGAGATAAGAGAAATTAGGTCCAACTTAATAGACAGCTCACTAATATGCCCAGGAGATCAGGCTCTGGAGCCAGCAGCAAGAAAGAGGGACATGGCTTGATGTGGAGAGAGAGGGCAGTAGGAAGCCACCAAGGCAACATGGAGAGTTCTGGCAATAGAGAGTAGGTCAAGAAGCACTGATGGGGTGGGGATGATGGTGGAGGAAGCAGAAGGAATGGCCTGGAAGCACTGAGATGGCCTCAGCAATGCAGGAAGGAGATAAGGTACTGAAGAGAGAATGGAGCAGGGGGTAATCAGGGTATCCAGAAGACAAAAGGAAAACTGGCTGGAGAAGTTAATAACTGCAGCTCTTGATGCCTCCAGCTCTGCTTCTGTACAGAACAGACAGCCACAGCAGCTTCAGGGCTATTTCTCAATGAATTTAGAACATAGCCTGGAAAAGAGGTACTCTTCTGGTTTAATCACAAACAGGACTAAATGCTAAAGTTGTTCCTGGAGATAAATGCTGACTGTCTGCTCTTCACAGATCCTATCTTGGCCATTTTTTACAGCAAGTGATGATATCTCTAAGTGCTTGTCTAGGAAGTGTCATTCCAGGACGCTCAGTTATCTCTGAACCATCAGACTGTTCAAACTCATCTCTCACTTTCCACACATGTACCCTCATCACCTAGGGGAGGAATGGAACTTGCTCTCTGCAGCTCAGACATATTCCTGTCCTTATGGCGGTGGATCTGGTTCAGAGGTTGCTATCTGTCTTCCTTAACCTAGAGTTTGGGTTTGTCCCACAACACTCTAAACCAAAGGCAGAAATAGCTAGGTAAAAAAGAGACACAAGCTCCTTTCAAAAATGTCCATAGAATCATAGAGCAGCCCAGGCTGGAAAGGGTCCTCAAAAGATTATCTGGTCTAGCCTTTCATGGCAAAGGGAGCAAACCTAAATGAGATTATCCAGCACCCTCTCCAGTCACATTTTGAAAACCTCCAGCAATGGGGACTCTAGCATATCCCTGGGAGGTTGTTCCAGTGACTGATCTCACTGGAAAAAAAGGTCTTTCTTAAATCAAGATGAAAATTCTCTCAGTACAACTCATACCCATTGCCTCTTGCTGTCTCCATGTGGCTCCTTGTGAAGACAGAGCCTCTGCCATCCTTGCAGCAGCCCTCTAAGCCTTAGAATTCTCTCAACTTTTCCTTACACAGCTTTCCAGACCTTGAATCATCTTTGTGGTCCTTCTCTGAACCTTCTCCATCCCATTCACATGTGGTTTTTCATATAGCAGGGACCAAAACAGCACACAGTATTCCAGGTGTGGCCTTGTTTCTTTTAATCTAGTTCACTACACACTACACAAACCTGACTGACAGGACCACAAAAGCCATTGAGCTGGCACAGGAGAGGCAGCAGAGACATCCGGGCTGGGATGTCAGCCTTCTGCTGAGTCATGGAAGAATCCCAAAGTTTTGATTACTCTAAGTTTATCTCACTGCTTGGAAATTCATTCTGCCAGCTAGGCACTGAAAAGCAAAGTATGCTGTGACACCAAAACTTTTCATCATCTCTTGCTGGAAGTGCCTTGCCAAAAACAAAGGACACGGTCAATCATGAGGAGAAGTTGTGTGAATGAGTCATGAAGCATACTTCATGTGGGATTACTGATTGTAAACAAGGGTATCAGCGGCTGTATGCTACCTGGTATTTGTACAATACTTTGCACAAGCCATGGTCTTGTCTTGAGGTTTCCAGTGGCCACTCTTATACAAACAACACATCACAATGCCACGTTGATCACAAAAGGAAGTCAACTCTAATGACCAGAAACGTAACTCAACCTTTACATTGGCTAAACCCAGTTTCGTTCATGGCTATCTCATATCTCAGTGAACACATGTTCCCTATTTTGTCTATCTGTTGCCTTATGTACAAAATGTAAACTACCAGCTTTCTAAAACAGTTGCTTTGGGGCTTTCGTTTGTTTTTACATTGTGGTTTTTTTTTATTTTCTCAACAAAACCCATAGGATTGCAGAATCACAGACTGATTTGGGTTGGAAGGGACCTTAAAGCTCATCCAGTTCCAACCCCCTGCCATGGGCAGGAGCACCTTCCACTAGACCAGGTTGCTCCAAGCCCCGTCCAACCTGACCTTGAACACTCCCAGGGATGAGGCAGCCACAGCTTCTTTGGGAACTCGTGCCAGTGTCTCACCACCCTCACAGTACAGAACTTCTTCCTGATATCTAATCTGAATCTCCCCTCTGTCAGTTTAAAGCCATTCTTCCTTGTCCTGTCACTACAGACCTTTGTAAAAGGCTCCTCTCCAGCTTTCTTGACAGCCACCTTTTAGGTACTGGAAGCTGATCTAAGGTCTCCCTGGAGCTTTCTCTTCTCCGGGCTGAACAAGCCCAACTCTCTCAGACTCTCCTCATAGCAGAGGCGCTCCAGCCCTCCGAGCACCCTTGTGGCCTCCTCTGGATTCGCTCCACATCCTTCTTACATTGTTGTCTCCAGAGCTGGACACCAGACTGCAGATAGAGTCTCACAAGAGTGAAGCAGACGGCAAAATCCCCTCCCTCAACCTGCTGGTCACGTTCTTTTTGGCACAGCCCAGGATACAGTTAGTTTCTGGGCTCCAATCTCACACTCCCAGCTCATGTTGAGCTTCTTGTCACCCAATACCCCAGAGTCTTTCTCATCAGGCTGCTCTCAATCCATTCTCCTCCCAGCCTGTACTTGTGCTTGGGATTGCCCTGACACAGGTGCAGGACCTTGCACTTGGCCTTGTGGAACTTCATGATGTTTACAGGGGCCCAGCTCTCGAGCCTGTCAACGTCCTCCTAAATGGCATCCCTTCCCTCCAGCCTCACCACACAGCTTGGTGTATACAAGTATGTATCTTGGTGTATACAGCTTCGTGCACATACAGTGCCTCTCACAAGGGGGCTCTGACTTTTAACTGTGGAGCTTTCTGAGCCTATTGAAATTCAAATAACTAACAGATCCCTTTCCATCATTCTTCCCGACTGCTCAGTTCTATCAATTGCTCATCAAATCCATGCCAGATGCAGAGAGGAAAAAAAGTCAAAAATAAAAAGTATTTGTGAATAAAGTCCAAAACATACAAATAAAATCCTCTCTGACCATGCTACTTAGCTCAATGTGTCTAGTCTCACCTATTTGCAGTAATAAGTGCATTCTATGAGAAGAAACTTGCATTTTGGCCTGTAACACAAGAAAAAGGGTTCAGATTGCCAAGAGCTTTGCAAACATGGGCTCGTTCTAGCGGCTCTGGTCTAGGCAGCATTTCCAGAGTGGCTGTAGAAGAGCTTCCCATAGGTAGGACTCTACTGACACTAACAGTTGTGACATCAATTCTAGATTATGATAGGAGTTAGAAATGCACATAAAATACTGTTTTGCTTTATTAAGTAGCAACCAGAAATGTCAGTATCACATGTTAATTAATGATTAATGTTAGAGGAAGGAGATGCATACCTGACATTTTTAAACTGGTAGAACAAGTTTTCACAGCGCAGAGGAGGAAAGTTCTCTGTAACACACAGTAATGGGCTGTGTACTTGGAATCGTACACTGCGAATTTCCCCACCTTCAGGACAGAATGTGTCAACACACAGTTCCTCTCCCAGAATAAAGACAGTGCTGGGGTGAGCAGCAGGTAATGTTGAAGAACGAGGAAAGGAAAAAAAACCAACATACAAATGACGATCAAAAGGACACAAAAACTCTTTCAGGCACACCTGTGGTAAAAAAATGTCAACAGAGCACATTTTTAATGTAAGACTAGACCCGATATTACAAGGTGCTGAAAGTCAATCAAGAAATAAAGAAAATAACACTGTGGAGCTGACAAAGCCCTGGAACTGTAAGATCTTCCTCAAGGTGATGTCCTACTTAGCAAGGAGTGCTTTAGGTCAGGCAGGGTGAGTTAGTATACATATAATGCTGTAAGAGTAATACATTGAAGTTATCCAGCATCCCACACTGATGAATCTCAAAGCACTCCAGCCTGATATTCCCACAATGGAAATCACTACATGCCTGCCTTTAAGTATATGTAGTAGATACCACTCCTACTTTGCTCCTTGATGAAACAAGGCACTTTCCTCTCCTGCACTGTTGTGTAATAGATGTTACATGGAACAGTCATATGATCCTCTACCAAGTTGTAGGCAGAGCCAAGAATACGAAATAGAGGTAGGATTCATCAAGCCTAACATTAGCAAGTTATAAACTAGGCCTCCAGTCAAGAAAGACACATGGGACTCTGCTCAGGTTTCACCACTCTACAACCACTGGAGACATGTTTCCTCACAATGTGGTTCATCCAACCTCTCTTAAGCTGGTGGATTTACCCTGTCTTGACTGTAGAATGACCAAACAGCTTTGATTAGAGACTAGCTTTAAAATAACCAAAAAATCACCCCAAGTAAATCTCTGGGATCTCAACCATTTGCTCTCCTCCTGGACACCATTCCTGCTCTGAAGGATGTTCAAGAAATCTGCAAACTGGGGATGACTAACTATCTCATCTTGCTGTCCTACGCTGCACAGCTCCCCCTTCCTGCTTCTGTTACACCATTTATTTTGGGTAGGGTCACATCTCTTGGAAACATCTCTATCTTCATAGAATCATAGAATCACAGAATGGTTTGGGTTGGAAAGGACCTTAAGATCATCCAGTTCCAAAACCCCTGCTATGGGCAGGGACACCTCACACTAAACCATGTCACCCAAGGCTCTGTCCAACCTGGCCTTGAACACCGACAGGGATGGAGCATTCACAACTTCCCTGGGCAACCCATTCCAGTGCCTCACCACTATAACAGGAAAGAACTTCCTTATATCCAATCTAAACTTCCCCTGTTTAAGTTTGAACCTGTTACCTCTTGTTCTATCACTACAGTCCCTAATGAAGAGTCCCTCTCCAGCATCCTTTTAGGCCCTCTTCAGATACTGGAAGGCTGCTCTGAGGTCTCCACGCAGCCTTCTCTTCTCCAGGCTGAACAGCCCCAACTTCCTCAGGCTGTCTTCATACAGGAGGTGCTCCAGTCCCCTGATCATCCTCGTGGCCTCATCTGGACTTGTTCCAACAGTTCCATGTCCTTTTTATGTTGAGGACACCAGAACTGCACACAGTACTGCAAGTGGGGTCTCATTTTGAGGTATTTCCTGCTCTAGGCATATTTCTGCCGCTACAGCGCAGATGAGAAATAATTTCTGAGAGAGGCTTGGAATTTCTAGTGTTTTTAAGTCAAATGGTTAATTTGATGGCTGCCATAGCCTTGCACAATGAAGGAAGGAGGGGACATGATTACTTGATAAACAACAGCGAGCCCGATGATATATTAGCAATAAATAAAAGTACATATAGGCAATATTTGTTATTGAGCTGTTAAATACATGGGTGACACAGATTAACAAGGCACGTAAACGTTTCTTTTCCTTATTGAAGAGGAGGGCTGAAGCAGGAGACTTTTCACCTATTTTACCCTCAACATTTCCCAGTAGCTCAGTGACAGGACAACCTCCACAGATCCAACAATTTAACCCTCGTGATCGGGGCTAACCCTGACACCGGACCGGGAAGGGTTTTACCTCAGGGGTCTCAGACGAAGCCAGAGGTATCGCCTACCTCCCCACCCACCGCGGGCCGCCATGGCTGCCCGCCCTCACAGGGTGCTGCGGAGACCCACGGCGGCCACCCGGCGCACACGGCTGGAGTGGACGGACACGCGTTTAAACCGCGCACCGGGGGGTTCTGTGGCAACATAGCAAACTCCCTCGCAGCAGACCGCGCTGCAAGTAACCTCAGACGAAGGAGTACCGGCCTCATGCTCTTCCCAGAGCCTGGTACGAGAGCGACCGTCCCGCCCGGACGAGGCGGAGCCCTGACGAGCCGCCGCTCTCCTCACAGAGCTGAGCCACCCCGCCCCGGCGTGGCGCGGCGCCCGCCGCTTTAACCGCCCACCGTGGGTGGCGGCGGGGCGCAGTGCGCATGAGTTCGGGGTGGCTGCGGCGGAGCCCGTGTCTGATCGGGGCTCGGACCCCTACCTACTGCCGGTCTTCTGCTGGGCTTGTTCCCCCTTACCCGGGAGAGGACTGCTCCTTGGAGCCGGTGAGTGCAGGCTCCCCTCGCCCTGCGCGGAGCCTCGGCGCTCGGGCTGAGGGGATCTTCGCTTCTATTTTACCTCTGCTTCAGCGTTCGTCTTCCCGGAGCTGGCGGCGAGTGAAGCCGCTGGAGTGAGGCGATGAGCTCCGACCTTCTTCCTGCGCTTCTCTGTCTTTTTCAGCCAGCGGGGAAAGGTCGCGGAGCTCTGCGCGCGTTCGCCAGCCCGCGACAGGAACGGTTCAGTTGCGGAGTTATTGCTCGCTAATGGGTTTTTAATGATTTCCACCCGTTGTCGCCGGTTGCAGCGGTCGGGACGGCGGCTGCCCCGTGTTGCTGCGTTGGTTCTCGCCCGCTGCTCTCCCGGGTTGGGGCTGCGGGCTGGGACCTGCTTCCCGCAGCTCTGCCAGCGCGGAGAGCGGCTGGTACCGGAGAGGAGAAAGGCTGCTAGTTAGTAACTAACTGCTTCCCCGTTGCGGGCGAAGCGTAGTTTCATGGTACTAAGCTATGCGAAGGGTTATTTTTCTTCTGTTCCCCTTGTATTTCTTGTTCTTCCCCATCATATCCTGTCTGAAAGCAATTTGCGTGTCTTAACTGGCAACTTAGAGAAGGAAAGGTTTCGTAGCCGTACATTGTTAAACTTTGGATGTATGCTGTGACTGAGTGACTAAGGGTGATGGGAAAGAGCTGCCTTACTCCTCCTCATTGTTTTCTGACTGTCTGCAGTTGAATGTTGCCATTAGAAAAAACGTTGGCTTAAACACCAGCAGATCTTAGTTCAAAACACTTCTTTTCCCTACCTTCTATCAGGTGCCTTTTCCATCTGGTGATGGTATGTGTGAGATGGCTGGTTGTTATTAAGATCATAATCCTAGGTAGTTCAGGCTAGGTTTAGTGTGTGAGAGAGAAACCACAGCCTTAAAAGCACCCCTGGGATTTTCAGTAATGCAGGATCTCAGTGGCATGTTTCCTGAGTAGTTTATGCTTTAGTGTGGCACCGAGAGGAGCTGAACACGGAGCTCTGGAGCTCTTGGTCCTGTGCATGGGCGTAGCAGGAGATGATTCCTGTGGGAACAGGGATGCAGGTGAAAGGAAAGAAATTTGCAGGATGTTGTCTCTGTTCTGAAAACTTTGCAAGGCTTTTAAGCTATAACAAGCTTCAGAAGTGTAAGTAACAATTATTTCCTCTCCTGTTCCTTTTATGAAGGGCACAGGAGGAAACGCTTCTTTCTAAACCCTAAAGTGTAAGTCTTAGTCTTAAAAGCTTTCACAATTTCTAGCTTAGGCTAATAAAGAGTTTTTATTTTAAGACTTTTCTGCAGATCCTTGACTAATGGAGTGTTGCAGATGGACTAATTTGTACAGGTACTACTAGGAAGAATAGTGGTTGTGGCTTTTTTGCTTTCTTTGCAGTAATTACTGCTGTATAAGGGGGGAGCTGGCATTTAAACAGGAAAAAAGAAGTTACTCACTGGCATCTCCAAAAATTGAAGATAGTCATTATTTCTCAGAAGTTAAATACATTTTTCCAGCTGTGTCTTTCTTATCAAGGATTTGTTTGGGGTTTTTATAACAGAGAGTGAGTGAATAAAATGAATTTTTTATGCCTGGAAATACAAACAATGACCAACATTGGGAAGGAACAGAGAGATTCTATATTGCATCTCTTTTGTCAATAGTAAACCTCTTCTCCTCCTGTTGGTTGTAACTGCTTTTTCTAGGCATGACTCTGAGAGAAATATTAACCAAGAATGTTGGCAGAGGGGCTTGTTGATTGGATATAGTAACTGGAACAACTCGGCTCCTGAGCAGTTGACAAGGCTCAGGCTGAATGACCTTCTGAAATACTGGAGCATGAGGAGATGAATGTGGCTTTCAGAGCCAGCCAGGCAGGCTGTGTCAAACACATTACCAAGGCCTCCCTCTTCTCTTTTTTTTTTTTTTTTTTAATAAATGAAAGCAAGGGTATTTAATTTCCAGTGTAACCAACTGCTTGAAGAGATCCTTTTCGAGTGGGTGTGTATTGATTATCCCTGTACCAAGGAAGGTCCAGGGTGAAACTTAACTGCTGTTTTCTGCCAGTGCTGTTCTCAGCTCTGTTTGCTTTGGGCAGGCAGACCTTTATGTACTCACATAGGAATGAAATGAGCATTAAATAAGCTGCTTTTTAAAGTAAACACCTCTGCTTTGTGCTCTGGATGTCTGCTGCCCTCCTCCCTCTACCAGCATAGCAGTCACAAGAAGAAACATTGGAAAGTAGCCTAACATCCAGCTGTGAGACTGTGACACAGCCGTGCCAGAGCTGAAAATCGTGTTGCTGTCTTAAATACTTTGTAAAACAAGATTTAGTTCACCTTTGCTGTGACTGTGGCAGTACTTGCATAATGAAACCCTAAACCCCAGTGATGCTACACCTCTAACAAGACAGAAGTTGACTAATTACAGAGGAGTCTGTGCCTGAAACTGTTTATGTGCATTTCATGTTGCTGAAGTGTTGGCTGTCACAAATAGCACCACCCTGATGTTAACAGGGGAGGTGCAAAAAGATGTGACTTTAAAAGAATTGGACACTTCACTTTGTTGAAATTTGCATAAGGGCATCTGAAATCAAAGGAGAAATCAGCCATCAGCTGGATGTGTCTAAATGTGGATGTGATTGTATGATGCTGCATTGTATGATGCTGTGATACTGGCCTAGACAGCGCTGGGTATCATAGGTAGCTTTACCACTAAGCAGATGCTGGCCATCAAATCTCAACTGGAGAGAACCAGTGAAAGCCTTATATTTGTCCTTGGGTAAGATCTTAATCTAAAGAAAAGTAACTACTTGTCACCTGCTTTGGTTTTATTTTCAGTTGGGGCAGGGAGGGATTTTGTCGATGTCAATGCTTGGGGAATGTGAGCACGTCAGGCTTTCTCTGTGGATTAAACTACCCGTGTTGGATATGAACCTTTGCCACTGGCCTTTGCTTTAGGCAGCGGGCTTCAGCTGAAGCTGTGATTGATGTAATGAACTGGGAGCAGAGTTTCCTTCCAAGGGATAAGGCAAAGATGCATGAGAATATGCCTCACCATTTTTTTTTTTCCTAGATAAATTGTTTCTAGAGAGTGGACCAGTGTACTTAGCATCATCAAATCCTGCATTAGTATTCCACTGTAAGCAGTATTTCCGAAACACTTCAGAGAGGATGATGAGGTAACAAAGATCTAGGCTCTTGTCTTGTGTTGCCTTGGTTGTTTTCAGTAGGCAATAAAATTTCTGAAGTATAGGGTCTCCAAAAAAAAAACCTAAAAGAAGCTGTTCTAGAAAACCCAGACAGACCAGTTAAGAAGGAAGCACAGTATTGAACCCTCTTTTTCTGCTATCTTGAGGCATGGATTAACATGGTCAAAGGCGTGACCTTAGGCATTGTTTCTGAGCAAAGCATGATTTGGAGATTTCAGGGTAATAACTGATTTATTACTTAGGTGATGAAACGTTGGTTTGTGATTGTTTCCATTCTTTTTAAGTGGTTGCTACATATAATTTGAGATCCAATTCACCAAACCATTTAAGCGTGTGATGAAATGTTGTAGCGAAGTCAGCTGGATTTTTTTTTTACTGAATTGGTGCCTTGCCCATCTAGTTCTTTTAAAAACTTATGTACACAGGATTAATTATTTCACTGTTGGCAGCTCTCACAAATTCTAGTGCTAGTTGTTTGAATGATATTCAGTGTGTTTCTTGAGGCTCCAGCTTCTATACTTACAACAAAGATTGTCTCAGTCCTCTGAGTTTTAAAACTAACAGATTTTGTAGCCTGTAGGGGAAAGTTTGAATTGTCACAAATGCACCACAGAAACCAGTAAGTTTAAACCAAAATATTGGAGTTCTTTGCGTTAAATTCCCTTGAATTATGAGAGTCTTGTGTGGTTGCCAGCACTCCAGTTACTTTGATTGTAGTTGCACGTCTGTCCTGGGGTATTCTCACAGTAGAGTGGTAGCCTAAGTTCCCACTTTGCTAAACATTGTTCAGATTTCATTAACTCTTCTGAGAATCTCGACCAGAACTGATGCCCAAGAAAGTGTCTGTAAAGATGCTGTTGGCCTGGTTCTTGTTCAGAGGATGATACCGTCATAGACTGGGGGAGTGGGGTTTCTATTTTTGTTCTTTTTTCTTTTTAGTGGTCACTATTTGTGTTTGTCTGGATGTACTATTGGGACAGTCCCTCTCTAAACAAGGGCAGGACTGTTTCCTGGTTACTGGATCCTAAATAGCCACAACTGTTTCAGACAGACAGGATTGTTCATGAGCAGATAAGGAATGTGGATCAAAATAAAATGCGTTAGCACATCATAACCATCTACAATTATGATATGG